TATAAATTAATTCTTTAAACTATTTTTTAAATAAATTATGGATGAAATTAAAACAAAAATCGATGTTATTGAAATGTTAGTTGATGAAGATAATACTGATCTAATTGATGCAATTGATAAATTAAAAGAAGCTCATATTACAGTTCAAGAAACTTTTCAAAATTATCAAAATACAGTTGAAGCATTAACATTATTAAATTTACAACTTGAGATTGATAAAACTTATTATAAAACATCTTTATTTGATTCAAACAAGAATTTTTTAGAAGAATGGACTCTTGATTTATTAAATGAATTTTACAATTATTTTCCAAATCAATATAAAGTTTATTTTGAAAATATAATAGTAAAAGAGATTGTAAAGTTAATAATAAAAAAAATAAATGTTATTCCTTTAGTTAAAAAAATTTCATTGATACTTATTTTTATATTAGATTATTTACGTAGTTTTAGAATTGTAAGAGTTTATGAAATAGTAATTTTAAATTTTATAGTATTTGTTATATTTATTGCTTATTTAAATAGTTTATTTAATAAAGATTTAATTTGTTTTATTTTTTAAAATAATATATCATTATAAATCATATGCGAAAAAAACTATGTAAAATATTAATTTGTAAAATCCAATTTTTAAATAAAAAAAATAACAAAGACAACAATATATTATTAAATGTAGTTTAAAATGACTTTTTCTAAGATGCATCATATGATTTATAAAAAAAAGACATAAAAAAAAATATATTATCGTTAAAAAAGTATTTTGAGAGATTTGATGTAGATATAAATATAATTGAATTAAAGAATTAAAAAGCGCGTATGCTTTTAAAAAAAGAATTATACCATACATCTAAAAAAAAAATTAAAATTAAAAAAAAATTATATAAATAAATTTTTTAAACATTATTACCTTGAATATTCTTTTTGTTTTTTCATATAATTTATAGCGTTTCGTTTGATGAGAAATTTTTTATATTTAGAATTAGGATAATTTCTTATTTGCTCATAACAATCATCCCAGTTTAAATACAAACCAGTCTTATG